ATTTATTTGTGTTTTTGATTGCTTTTTATTTTGTATATTTAATTACCTTTACTTGTTTATCGAATTTAATTCATTGCTTATTTTGAATTTTTTTGATGTTATTGCGCTTTTATTTATATTTAGCTGTCAGTTTTGCTGTCATTGACTGTCACTTATTCAGTGAATATGCGAATAAAGTTGCTTATTTCCAAGAATCTTTATTGTTTGTTCTTCTTTCATTTTCAAATATACAAAAATGGACTCATGCATGTATGCACATACATACATACATGCATATTTGACATACATAATTATTAAAAAATAAATTACAATAAACTCGTTCAAATTTCATATATTTTTCCTCTACTCATTACTGTTTTAATTATAAATATGCAATGAGTGCTTTTCGTAATTGAAAGGAAAAAAATACCGACAACTTGATTTTATTTACAAAGAAGCTGTACTTTGAAATATACTAGAAATATATGAGAAATAACATTTGTCATAGTACAGCCAGGGGCAGTAGTAGTGCTACATTTATCTTCTATACTTAGACGAGTACGTATTATAATAATAAATGTATATTTTTTTCTCTTGCGTTCGTCTGATCACATTACTTAATTATATTTTTTTCTAAAATATAATATATTCCACTTATGATTTTTAGAGGCAATTTCACGATAACTCCTTTCATACATAATTGTATGGCAATTTTCTGCTTAATGAAGGTAAACGTAATTAAGTATATTATATAACCACAAAATAAGGTAAATAAATAACAGTTAATGAAATAAAATAACAGCAAAGTAATAAAAAAAACTTACGCTTTCATAGTTTCGTTGCGAAACAAAAAGAAAAAATAGAAGAAAATTCATTTAGCACAATTCTTTCATGCGCCATTTAAGACGCCATTTGCTGCTATCGCTCGACTAGACAAGCATTCAAGTATAAACAGCAGCATTCTTCATTCATATATGAGTACTTACTTTTCAAATATACAAACACATACATATATATGCATATGCTGCAGTTAATATTTCACAAATTTGCTACAATTTAAAAGCATTTTTATTGCGCCGTGCGTTCATCCGTCCTATACTCAACGCTAGATATTTTTTTCTCTTCCAAACTTGCACTGCTACCGGGTTTTTTCCCTCTAATTTCACTTATTCTATTTACTTCTACTACAGCCGGGCTATATGGTGTGCGTATCGTGGCATACAAGACTTACCTTTAATCCTTTTTTAACTATTTGGCACTACTTTGGTAGTTCCTTTTATATTTGTTTACCCATAATTCTGTGAGATTCCGTACAGCAAAAAATAAATATATATTCTAATACATTTGTTCTGGAACATTATAAAACTTTTACACACATTTATTGTACATATATAATATATACACTTTCATAAAGCTCTCAAAAAGTATAACAAATATAGTAGTTAAATAATATATAGAAGAAAAATAGAAAAATTCTGTGAAAAGAAATAGAGATAATGAATTTGTTATTGATAGTGTTTTTGTTGTTGTTAAACATGTAGTAAACACACAAGGGCAAACCTTTATTTTATTGTAGCTTCTAGGCGGTCGGCCACACGCCTCATCGTCAAAACTGTTTCTCTCTATACATTTTCTTTATTATTTTCTTTCATTTCATTTGTGCATGTATGTCCATATGTATGTATAGTGCAAGAAATATGCAACAACTACAAACATATGCGTTTAACGTTTTTTTCTGGCGGCAATTAATGTAGAAGGTATGCGCTAAAGATATGTATGTTTGTATGTACACCATTGTACATCTGCCAGTTAGATTCACAAGCAAAACAAGAACAACTATATACAGACAGATACGCTCGTGTGCTCTAAATAATTGAAAAGCACGCTAAAAGCATTTATGCCATAAATATGTACTTTAAATGCACTCATATATTCAGATTCAGTAAATTTGTATGTATATATACATATACATATACAGTATGTAAAAACAAAAAATCGTAAAAAAGTAAACATGAAATATGGCAAATGGTCAAACGTGATTATCAGACCTTCCTTCCGTTTATACTCTCATATGTCTTGCTTACAAACAAATACACATATTCATACATACATAAGCTCATTTCACTTGTTCTCAGCACTTTTTGCATGTATTGTATATATTTAAATAAACAGTTTTATGTAACTTGTATTTGTATGCTCCCGCGCATCATTGCTGCGATTATTCGTAATTTTTGTTGTTCCTTTAATTTTCGTTCTGTTTTGTTTTTTGCCGTTTCATTTCTTAGCGTGTTCCTATAGCACGTGGCCACATCAACATTATCATTAAATGCCATAACCAGTCAGTTATGTATGTGTGTATATACATATGTATGCAGAATAACAACAAGTCTACTTAAAATGAAAGCTATAAACAAGAGCACCGCCAGCGTTTTATTTTGTTAAGTATTCTGAATAAGCTCCCTGTTTAACTGCTGTAGCCTTATTATTCTGTTTGTTATTGTTGCCGAACACCTTTAAACTACACGTTATTTTAGATTTTTGCCTTTAATATGAAACTCATGTCATTATTTACCGTTTTTTTTTGCTGTGTTTCATTCATATTGGCCGGCCACACTTGCTGGTGGTAAACTGCTACTGTTTAAAGCATTTTATTTGTGCTTTGTAGTTAATATTGGTATTGCTGTTGTTATTGTATGGTGTGCGCGCATGCGTGATAATTGCATTCTAAGTAAATTTATGGCTGCACAACACTTTGGTGTCTGTCTGGGCGGTCAGGGCTTGTGCTGTGCTGTTTGGTGCTCTATTAGCAACATTATTTTCGCGTTTGCTTGCTTGTTGGTTTTACTCGTTCGAAGTGCTACTGTCGGTTAGTTATGTTCACTTAAAAAAAAAAAAATCGACTCCGGTCACTGTACTCGTATGCGTTTTTTTGCCGATCTCGATATAGAATTGACTTTAATTTTATATTTTTCATCACTTCTTTACTTTTAGTTGCAAGGAAAAAAAATTATTCACAAAAATTCATTTTTAATGTTAAAAATATTTTGTATGCACGGCTATTGTGAATGGTAATTTTTATATTAGACGAATGACATTGACATTTTTATTTTTATCAATTAATGTCGGTTTAAGTTTTTTTTTTTTTAAATATTTTTGATGTCAAAAGTAAATTGAGTAGTGCTTTCTCGTATGATTACACATACATACATAGATACATACATAATGTATTTGTGCATATATGTATGTATGTATAATCAACAATACAATTGCCATTATTTCATCATAACGATTTTTAGCGTCGGCTGCGTCACGTTGACAGTTCTTTTCTTGACCGGTATCTTTTTTGTGTGTAATTAGTAGATATATTCGTACACTCCTCCGTACAAGCATATTGTAGCTACACTTTGTCATTTTGGTCTTTTGAAGGTCCCAAAAGTACCCTATACCTTTCTTCCCAGTAATTAACACACTTCATCATCATCATAATCATCATCTTCACTCCACCCAAATCCGCCGCCCAATCATTCACTCACGCACTCACTCATTCGGCAATCGAAGAGCTGCTACTACTATATCAATATTGTCCGTCCACTAACACTTGCCGCATACGTCTCGCGTTCTCTCTCTTTTTTGTATTTGTTTTTAAAATTCTCTCTATTTCTCTCGCTGCCTCACTGTTTTGTACGCACGCACAGCTGGTGAAATCTGGCAAACAGGCCAAATCACAAATCAAACCAGACCAGTCTAGAGCAGAGCCGACCATACCAATCTATGCATAAACAAGACTTTTGGCATAAGTATGCGTTGCACGTACATACATATGTATGTATTCGGTACATACATACAAACATACATATGTGTTTATACTATGCAACAAGAACAAAAAGTGTAGTAGATAGTAGTAGAACTCTTTATAAAAGTAGGTGGGCGTAAATGTGGGCCAAAGGGATTAATAGCGTTTGCTGCACTATTCTCAAGCGGCGAGTAAATGGTTATTGTTTAGGTTAGGTATATCAACACATGACATTTGACATTTATGTAAATAAGCGAGACGAAGGAATATGACAGTATAACGAAGCCAGTGGGGAAATCGTATTGTATGATGTGTTTAAATAACGGGGAAAATTGTAAAGAATTGTTGGCAAATAAGAAAATTACTTTTTAAAAATTTATAATTTTTAACTTATAATAGGCATCTTAATGCAGATAGAAGTTGTCATAACGAATTTTAGTATTAAAAATCATGTAAAATTATTTTTGACATTTTGCAATGGCGTAATGAAAAAAAATTAAACTCTTTTGCCTTGCGGGAAAAAATTGGCTAAATTTATGTGTTGCAGAAATGTAAAATGTTTAAGCTATTAAATTACTAAAGATATAGATACGTAAGGGAAAAACGCATTACGATTCACATAATATATATATATTTTAATATTGTTCATACAAAGCTACTTATACAAATGGCTGTTTGACAGCAATATTATTTTTTTATACATATACACTTGGCATATCTCATACTGTTTTTTGTATTTTGTATTTTTTTTTTTTGCATAATTAACATTTTTCTGGCTGATTTATAAACACGCTTTTGCTTGACGCTGCATTATTTTATTTTCATTTTGTTTTCACCATTTCCATTATGCATTCTTTTCGTCAGTTATTAGCTCGTTTGTGTATCGGAATTTTTCGTGTATGTATGTATGTACTATGTATAATAATCGAATAAATAAAAAATCATTTTTTGTATACACGCGAAAAATGATTAAATGCCATCGCCGCCTCGCCGCTTAAAAACGAAGACGACGGATACGACAATTTCGTTAGCTATACGTCGACACTCATCGGAACGGCCTTAAAACGGGGACCGACTGCGCTGTAGTCTGTCTCCGGTTTGCCAACTCGTATAGTGGCGGTCGCGGTCGCGGTCGCGGTCAACGTTGACGATTTTGTTAGCTTTATTTTAGGTTTTTTGTTTTTTAATTTGGTAATTTTACACACATACATACATGCAGACATGCACATATGCGCGAAACGGCTTGCCAAAAGCGTCTAAAGAGTATTTTTATTGTTTGTTGCCTACTCGCTGCGCAATGCCACTCTTTTAGTATGCCAGACGCGCTCTTTGGTTTCTTCTCAAATTTCAGTTGTATATGTGTGGTGTTAGCATTGTATTTTTAGCCCGGTTTTTTTTTGGTACATACATGCATATCTCTTCATGTAGATTTATTTATTTCAAAGCTATTATTGTTTTTGCTATCGTTCACAAAAAGCTTTACCGGCTTTATGTATGTATACGCTCTGACACAATTGTTTCATGCTCTCGCTTTACTTAAATACTCTATACTTGCGAGATGTTTGCTCATTTATTCTTGGATTTTCTGTTTTTTTTTCTTAAGTTCAGTGGTCACATGTTTACCTTTTTTGTATATCCAACATTACCTTTCACTACACTACCACCACCATTAGTAGCAGTACTAGCTACTGAGTATTTTCCACTCTTCTCTTTAGTTGCCACTTTCTTGTCTCTGCATTGTTGTTGATTTGTGCAGCTTTCGTGCTAAATTACTCGTTTATATTTGAGAATTCGCCTGTAAACACCTTCACGCTGCTCAGTAATGTAACTTGACTTGTATTTTTGTATCTACTTTGGCGCTCTCGTTCACCTGCTGTTTAGACTTGCTTTTGATTTTTTTTACTTTTTGGTCCCTCTCTCTCTCACTCTCTCCCTATTAGTTATTAATTGTCGCAAACGTAGTAAACGTATAGACTTCAATTTACAAGCATTTTTATACATTTTTGTTTACAATCAAGTAACTATAGCAACTTTTTTTCGGCTAGCGACATTGGCATCGGTTCGGATGTATGCCATAGTGCCGCGCCATTAAATTCTACACCAATTAGAGGCAACAGCACATTTACACGAATGAAGAATAGAAATTCCTTTAGTCTATTTAGAAGCGGTTTCCAATAATGATGACGATTGTGTCGCGCGTGTATAAAAGTTCACCAACATTCCAACGCATAAGTAACGCGACTCAGTTTACTGGGAAGATTATTATTACAAATATATTACATATATTGTTGTGTTGAATTTTTTATAATATTTTTGCGCGATTTATACTGCACTTTTTTGACACTTAATTCAAAAATAAAGAATTAGGCTTGCCGCATTAGAAACTCAAGCAGCAGCTCATAATTTTGATAGTTCATTGAATTGCTTGTTATGTACGCGTATACATACATATGTATAGACTATGTAATCGTGACTATTGCAAATTTACATATGCATATACAAGTATATATGAATGTTTGAAATTTGCAAAATTCAATGCAGAAATCACTTGGAGACCAATAAATTATTGTAAAGTTTGTGAAAATATATTATTATTGTAGTAAAACACATTCTGTAACGTGCAAAAATTGAAATTGACAACAAGAGGAAACAATATGGCGTCGCAGAAAATGGTAACGGCGAGTGAATGTCAAATGCGAATGCGTTATATAGTGTTTAGAGCGCATCATGCAATATCGAATAACGTATACGTCACGGCGTCAGGGTTGATTATGTAGTGATGATGAAATTTAGTAAAAATTAAATGAAAAGAAGATCATTATAAAAGTAAATTTTGTATAAATGAAATAATATACGCATTAATAAAAAAAATATAAGAATTAAATTAATGGTTTATTACTTGAAGGAGTTGACTTGATAATAAAAAATATATAAAATAAAAAATATTTTGAACGCATTTTAAAATACATGCGTACGTATGTTGATGCATATATATTCGGTTAAACAAATATGTATCTACATATGTATGTATTAACAATATATATGTGTGCAAAGTAGCTTCATTGAAAGAATAGAAACAAATATTATGCCCTTATTGAACTCCCAATATTAATGTCGTCTTGCTGTGCGCAACATACTTGCCTGCTTACAAATATGTATATTTGTACAAGCACTTACTCACACTCAACCATTTAAAAATTTAGTTGTATGCTTAAAAAAATATAAACATATTGTATGTACATACTGCTTAACCTTGACTTTTTATATTGCTCAGATATTTCGCATACTAATATTTTATAACTATTTGCTGCGCATTTAATAGCACTTTTCCTTTTTTATACATACAATTCCACTTTTAGTAGATGATAATTATAATTTTTTTTTGGAATATTTTACTTTGCGATTTTTTCAAAATTTTATATGTATGTTTATCCACTATATATATTTTTATACTCGTACACATACACATTATACACAAATGTATATGTTCTTTTCACATTTTCGCATACTCATTATTATTAGTTTCACCAAATATTATGCGTTTTGCTTTAGAGTAGTTTTGAATACGCGCTTATCTTATCTAAAGCTTACAATTTTGTTGTTTTTTTCTTGTTTTTATCTACTTTTCATGAGGGTGATAATTGAGTAAAATGAAGAAAAACCCGCGATAAGTGTCAAAATTGTTGGTCGTATTAATAGAGTAGTTGATTAATTTTTTTTTCTTTTCTACTTTTGAGTAGTAGAGAAGCTTTTTTTGTGTTGTGTAAGTGTTTAATCTTTTTTATACTGGCGGCGGTTTACTTTTTTTTTTGTAATTCTACTGCGTATTCATAGTTCTGAAATTAATTGTAAAAAGATTTTTTAGAAACAGACAATTTATTTATTCTAAATGCATATAAAATAAGGTCACTACACGAAATGGTATTTAAATTTAATTCTATATAATGTTTTACACCTTAAACTTTTTTATGCTCTCGATGAGTGAATGTGGTCACAGCCTTATTTAAAATGACTGAAGTAAATAAACTTTCCATATTTTAGTTCGGTTTGCATTTTTTGCGTTTAAAATAAAATTTTAAATTTGAATTATTTTTGTTTAAGCTTAATTTATGCAGTTACTTATTTATGTAGCATATTTTCATTTTACTAAATATTGTTTTTTCTCTCTTTTTATTTGCAGAATGTCGCCGGATAATCCCACGCAGATTCTAACCACACATGATTTGACCAGCTTACGCACCCTACAGCGTGTAATTAACACCAGTAGTCTAAATAATAATAATAATAACACTAACCACAACAGCAACACAGTTGTTGAGGACAGCATCGTTTATACCAGTCACAGCCACAATAATAATAACAACAACAATCGCAATCATAATTACAACCATAATAGTAGCAACATCACCAGCTCTAACGGCATACATAATCATCACAACAATAACACCAGCAATAGCAACAGTAACAGCAGCGCGCACGTCAGTGGCGGTAATATTGTCTTCTCCACCATACCATTTGACGGCCACACCGTCTTCATTCAACCATCCCACCTTTTACCCCCGAACGCTGCTGCATCGCTTGCTACCAGCAGCGGTTTGCAACAGGTAACGCAAACGCCGCCGCGTGGCTTGGTCACAGCAGCAGCAGCTGCCGGCACAAATGGTTTACGCACGGTCAGTAGCATCAGCAACGGTAACTTGGTAGCGAGTAGCATTGGCAACGTCGTTAGCAACGCAACGACATTTCTCAATAGTAATACTAACAACAGCAGCAACAATAACAACAACAGCAATAATATTAATAATAACAATCGATTGAATAATTTTCTCGCCAAAGCGACAATACTGAGTGCTGCGGATCTTAGTAACGTTAGAACGAGCGGAAAACTCTTTAATAGCGGCAGTAACATCAACAACAGCAGTAGCATCATTAACAACAACACCAACAACAACAACAACGGCAGCACAACTTTCAGTGCCGGCAGCACTAACATGCCGACCACATCGAAATATGTTTTATTGCAACCAAACGGCAACGGACAGTTTACCACCTATGAAGGCCCCACACCAGCAGCAGCGGCCGCCGCAGCGGCAAATGGCAATGCTTCAGCGCCAAGCGTGGGCAATATTGTGCTTTTGGCCACTGAACCGTTGGACACAACTGTGGGCAGCGATGCAACAGCTGTCGGGCGTGTAATTGCCACAGCAACCACTGGCACGGGGGATAATGATGAGGAGTTGCGACCGTTGGCGTGGCTTAATGATAGTAATTTGATAAAAGGCATAGTGACTACATCTGCGGCAGGTGGCGTAAAACGTGTTGGCGGCGGTGGTGGCGCTTTGGGGAATAGCGGTAATATTTGTATAGTTAGCGCGAGTAATGCGCATGAGCTGATCGAAGAGCTGCCGCATCATGTGGGTAGTGAGGAAGTCACAACCACCTTACCTAGCGGCAGTGTGAGCACAAATATGAACAGTAACAACAACAATAAGAACAGTACCATCACAACACCTACCGAACTGAAAGCCGGCACACAAATTACCGCACTCAGCGTTAGCGATTTTCAGCAACTCAAGCGCTTTGGCAACATAATCACAGCTGGTACACCGATAACTTTGTTACCACAGCATGACGCAAACGCTGCGACGGTTGGCAGAAAAGATGAATCGCCCACAACGCATATTTTCGGTAATATTGGTGCCATAAGCGCCACCACCACAGTACATATGGGACCGAGTGGCACGACAACCGTTGTCGAGTACAAATCGAACGGTAACATACCAACGCTGCAACCGAGGCAGCTACTCAGTGCTGCTGCAGTTGGTAATGCCAACAGTGGCACGACTATAACACCAGCCAATTTGAGCAATAGCGCCGGCAATCACAACACTCACAACAACAACAGCAATATTATGAATTCTACCAGTAACTATGTGCCTTCTTCACCTTCTACTTCTACTACGACCCACAGTATCCAGTCAAGTGCAGCCAATACACCCTCCGCCTCCGTTGTTGCTTCCAATCACCCTGCCTCCATATCAGTTTCCTACTCGACAGCGCCCTCATCGACACTGAGTGTAGCCGGTGCCAATAATAATGGTAGCACCACGGTGTTGAGCTTGTCTAAGCAATTAACAACACTGCCGGGCGGTGTTGTTACGGTTACCAATGGCAACGGCGCAACTAACACAATTTATCAAGGACAACAGCAACATAAACAGCAACAACCCATCGTCAACAGCAACACAAATAACAGTACCAGTAGCGCCTCCAGCACCACACATCATCCGCATAAGAAATATTTACGCGAAAAGATGAATGTATTGGATCATGGTGGTGGTGGTGGTGGTGGTAGTGGTGTTGGTGGTGGTGGCAACAACTCTGTCAGCTCAAATGCAAGCGGCAATGGTGCAGCTTCTACCATAACCGTGGTCGCTTCTCCGGCCTCTTCCAGCAGTTCGTTTTCCTCATCCGTCTCAATGTCATCCAGTTCATCGTCCACGGCCGCTGTCAACGGTGGCAATAGTCCAGTCTCTAAGTCATTCTACGCTGGCGCAGCCAACAACAGTCACAGTCACAACAGCAGCAGTACTGTAAATGGCAACAACAGCAGCAGCGGTGCCATAAACTACTCTAGTACGGCGAATGCGACGCCTACCGTGGTGTTGGCTAATACCGTAGCCGGTGGCACAAGCGTCGCTGCAACAAATGCAGCCGCTAGCTCGCCCATAGCAACCAGCATACAGCCCACCTACATAATGCAGTATCAAAGTGTGGCGTAAGTGTAGAATTTTTCGAAATTCTTCTATGTATATACGCAATAAAATGATTTTCTTCTCATACACAGCTCATCACCAAGCATTTCTTCGCCAGAACCCATAAATTCCAAAGAATTCTATCCACTTGTTGCACCGCAGCAACAACAACGTAACTCGATGCGTTCACCCACCTCCTACTCCAGCTACGATAATGACTCATTGAAGGATTTTGAAATATCCACCAATAGCTCGAGCGGTTTGGGTCGTCACAACACCAGCACACCACAACATCAAACACATCAGTCTGCGCAAGCACAACAGCAGCTGTCAACATCAGGGTCCTCCTCCGCGTCCTCAAAGGCCAGTCATACAGGCGGTGGTGGTGCTGGTGGTGGTGGTGGTGGTGTTTCAAGTGGTAGCGGTGCTGTTACGCCTCAAAAGCAAAAACATCCGAACAATGTGCCCTACGATCCGTTCGTGCACACACACAACAAGCCGCCATACAGTTTTAGGTGAGTGTGACTCATACTTGTATGTATGTATAAACATACATATGTACACATTTTTTTTCGACACAATTTTTATTTTTGAACTTTAAAATTTCCTAGTTCCTTAATATTCATGGCCATTGAGGGCTCGAATGAGAAAGCATTGCCAGTCAAGGAGATTTATGCTTGGATTATGCAACATTTTCCATACTTCAAGACGGCGCCTGCTGGCTGGAAAAACAGCGTGCGTCATAATTTATCGCTGAACAAGAGTTTTGTAAAAGTGGAGAAAGCACCGGTAAGTTTTAAAGTATGTATACTTTGCTACGAAAAAAAAAATTACATAGAAAAATTCAAAATAAAATATAAAATTGAAACAAATGCTTAAAAAAATAAAAAAATTAAAATAAGAAAAAAGAGAATACAGAAAAATGAACTAAAAAAAAATAAAAATAAAAATTATTTAATATTAAAAAGCTGAAAAAATAAAATAAATACTCTTTTGATTATAATAATAAAAAATTAAAAAATTAAAAAATATAGGGAAATAATAAAAAAAATATTAAAACACAAAAATAATAATAAAGGAATACTAATAATGATAATAAAGCAAGAATAATAATAGTAAAATAAAAAAATAATTATAGTAATAATAGTAAAATTATTATAATGAATAATTAATTATAATAGCAACAAAGTAATTATAATGAAATTATAATTATACTAAAATAATAAACAGTAAGACAATAATAATACTAAAATAATAAACAATAAGATAATAATCATACTAAAATATTAATAACAATAAGATAATAATTATACTAAAATAATAATAATGATAAAAACATGAAATAAAGTAAAAAACTAAATAAATTAAACCATAAAATAAAACCTGTTATTACTTAGTTGAAAAAAGTTTTTTTTATTAATTTTTCAACCGTTGCTCTTTATTGTATTTTCTTAAATTTAGAATATGGGCAAAGGCTCATTGTGGCGCGTCGAACCGCAACAGCGACAAAATCTCATACAAGCGCTCAATCGCTCACCATTCTTCCCCAATTCGGCCGTGGATAAATCTTCATCGCTCAAGAGCCCTGGTGGCAATGACTCACTTGTCGGCTATGACACCGTTGATAGTGTGGGCAGTGGCGGTGGTGGTGCGTGTAGTCCAGCGCCAAAATCTAATATAAATCCACGTATCGATCCACGTCTATTCCCTAAACTTTCCAAAGTTATTGGTGGACAGGGCTTGCTAAATGATGTGATTGTGACTGGCGCTGGCGATGGACCTGACGATGACACTCCGTCCGATTATAGTACAACAAATCATAATAATAATAATAATAACAATAGCAGCAACAACAAATACAACAATTATAATAACTCAACATTGTCACAGCAGCAGCAGCAGCAGAATGGCAACAGTGGCGGTAGTGGTGGTGGTGCCAACGGCGCTACTTCCATATTAGGTCCTTTCAGCAGCTACGAAAGCATTGAGCGTCTGGCACGTGATTGTGGTGCTGATAGTATTGACGATGTCAATGCAGCCACTGCGATGTTGGCGTTGAAGCATGGACCGAAGGTGTTTGCGGAGACCTTCCAGAATGGGTAAGTTGTTGTTTTTGATGAGGACGAGGAGAGGTGTTAATAATGTATAATTTTAATTGTTTTTCATTGTTCTTTATTTGCTAGTGCGCCCGTTATAACGTCGTCACCTAGTGAGGATCACACTTATTCGGCGGGTGGTGGTGGTAGTGGTGCCGCAACACCGCTAACTAACGGTAATTCCGTGCCAACGGCTACAAACGGCAATACACCATTTGCTGGCAGCATTGGGCAGCAACAACAAAATGGCTGTAATGGCGATAATCAAAGTAATTACACATCCTCGGATGCCGCTTACGAAAGCAGCGAAGATAAGTAAGTGTTGACCAAAAAAAACTCAACTACTCTTAATTAAATAATTATATGTTTAAATATATATCAATCTATTTAATTCCACCTTCTTAGCAACAATATCACACCCGAAGAGCTAGAGGATCAACGTCGGCATCGTGAAGGCGTCGACGCCTTGCTCTCACTTTCGCGTTCCTCCGTCGTTGAGTCGCCTACAAAACGACCGTCATCGACTAGCGTCGAAGAAGAGCACATATCCGCCTGTCTTGAAAACAACAACAAAACTATTAACAACAACAATAATAATAATAATAACGGACATTTCACCAATGGCAATGCTAAAATGGCGTTGCTCACCAGTGCAGTTGCTTACAGTCAACAGCAACAACAACAACATCATATATACGAGGATAGCAGTAGTTTTCACTCACCCAGCTATTATGGCACGGCGCATAGTACACTGCATCATCATCATCTTAGCTTGGCCGGTGGCAGTGTGCAACGTAAAATCAAGCCTTTGCGTAGTTTGCGTACGAAAATCAAACGCAAAGCGCCATGGATGAGTAAGGCGCGGTGAGCGTTGGCGTATGCTTGTAAGCGGGGAAGAGTGTGAGAGAATGAGTAGTGCGTAGCTAAGGAAAGTGGAGTTGGGTAGAAGTTAAAATTAATTATTGGAAAGTAGTGTTTTGAGTAATTAAAAAAATATAGGTGTGTATGCGTTAGAAAATTACTGTTGAGCATATGTAATAGAATACTGCTTAAAGGGATTGTTTTTGGCTGTAAAATATATTAACATGGGCTTTGAGTACGACGTAAATACGTATAAATTGTAAAAATTAAAGCTAATATGTGACAAAAAGATAGAAATTGAGCAAAGCGTTTTAACAATTTTTGGTCTATGAAAATTTTTACGACAAAAATACTTTTACAAAATTTAAAGTGAATTAATTCTAAATTAATTTTCATTTACGAGTGCCTAAATCTTAAGATATGTAAAAAATTTATATTTTCGACAAACTAAATATATAATTTGGAGATTCTTTAATTAGCTGACATAAACTAAGTGATCATATTTTACATATATTAATACTAAAAACAATAATTCAGCAATTTTCTTTGCATTTTCACAAAAACGCTGCTCAATTTTATAAGTTTTTATGTAAAAAAAAAACTGACAAATCTGATGCAATCTATACGCAACCAAAAGGAAAAAATACAATTTTTAAGCTTAACTTAAATGTAAATTAAGTTTTAGAGCAAAACAGCGTTTTGAGCCGTCCGGCCAATATACATATGCGCATACACACACACACACACATTCACTTACACACTTATATTTATACATAAATGTTATTTATCAAACGCCTACTTTACCGTTTTTCTACTACAAATTCTTTTCTTGAACGCGGCCCAAGTAATGGTATAGTTATAAAATAAGATAGTGAAAACCGTTGCATACTTTTTAGCGTTTGCTTTAAAGTTGAAATGTAAAAAAAAAAACGGGTTTTCGGTTAGCGCGATATTTATAAGCGCGAAAGTGCTTACAGTTTGGGTAAAGAGTATCCTTTTTCTTAATAAATTTAATAAATTTCCTAGCAATATTATTTTCTGTTGCGCTGAATGTAAGCAGTTAATGCATAAAAATGATAACAATGCTATATAAAGCGCTGATTTCGTTATTCTTAATACAAATTTGATAGTTTTTAATAAACGTTTTATAATTTTTAATATAAATTAGCGCTGAATAACATTTCCATGTGTCAATTGCATATATATAATGTCACTTAGTGAGTTGAATATGCTGAAAATGATTCTAATTCGCGAAAAGTGTGTTTAAAATTTGTTAAAAATACGCAATGGTAGCATCAAAGCGTGTACAAATTTATTTGAATTTGAAAATAAAGAAAATAACAATTTAAAATGTTGTAAATACGTGAAATGCTTTTGTTAATCGCGCTGATTAACATGTATTGTCTTATTACGCACAAAAAAAGGAAATGAGTTAAATTGTTGCTCACGGTAGTTTGAATAATTTTTTGCGCGCTGAATTTAACTTATATTTCTTTGAATAAAAAAAATTGAGCATAAAAAAGAATATATTAATTTAAAAATATTGTAAAAAAATTTTCAAACGCGCTGAATAACATTTTCTTCATTATTCAACACCTGAAATGTGCGTGAATATGTTTCTTGTAGAAAATGGCATATATTTATGCGTGCTGAATACGGTTACCATACGCTGAATACCACATATATTGGGCAAAATTAAAAAAGCGCATATATTTAGTGCGCTGCATATGTGTAAATATATTATAAAGTGCACATAATACGCGCATATATATTATAAAGTGCATATAATATGCGCTGAATACCATTTACCGCGCTAAAAAGTTGTAAGCACCTTTCGCTGCGAGAAGTTGTCTATATTTCGTGTACCCCATAACTTTTAAAGTCTTCAAAACTCTTTGAATTAGCTTTTATTTACTAAAATAAGTTTCTTTTCTTCATTTATTTACTCAAATAAGCTACTTTGCTTCCAATTTTCTTAAGTTGTTATACTTTTTTCCTTATATTTCTTGAAGAAATTGCAATGTTTTATGCCAAACATTAGTTTTATTGTAAAGTCTGTGCGAAATATTATTTTGCGCAGCAAAACACACACACACACACATACATCTTAACACATAAATTATATTACATAGTTATAAAAACAAAATACAACTCTGTTTATGTTTGTAATTATACTATTAATAAATGTTTTAGTTTAAAGCGTTGGAATAATTTTCAATAAATAATTCGCCTTTTAGCAGCTTTTAAAAAACTATACGAAAAAACTTGTTTAAGTCATAAATTGAAGAATACATTTAATTTTAACTAAAAACTAATTTTAATTCATATAAAAACAACTACAAAGAAAAGTTAAACGTAAATAAAAAAGTAGCGAATCAAGTAATTAGCAAATCAAAAAATAAAACATAAAACAAAACAAAAGCAGAAAAAATGTATTTGTTTAAGTGACTATTAAAGTTTAGCCCTTAATTAAGACAAAATGGAAAAAATAAAAAATAAATAAATAATTTAGAAAAATAAGTATGTTTACTAAAAGCAAGTAAATGCATCTTTAAAACCCCCTCAAAAAGAAACAAGAAAAAAATAAAATTCACTTCAAGTACCTTTTTAGCAAAAGAATATAGAAAAATAAAAATAATTAAATTATTTAAAAGGAAGGCATAAAGAAATATGCAATGCAAGTGAAAGCGTTCAGTTTGATGCAGCTGAGACAGGAGAAGGTAAAACTAGTTATAAATTAAATTATTAAGTTTAAATATTAAATTTTTTTAATTGAAAGCTTTATGCAGTCTTTTAATTAACTAAAAAAAATTGTTTACCATTGATTATACTATTAATTGTTTAAAGCGAAAATGAAAATAAGCGTATGTATGTGAGTAAAGCGCAGCAAATCAAATATAATAAAATAAAATACTGATAAATAAATGTTTTTATTGCAAAGAATACTAAAATAAAATTAATAAAATAATGAATAAGCTAAAATCAAGAAACTGTTAAGTTAATAACAAAAGCCAATGTTAAAAGTGAAAATTAATTTTATTAGCAAATATGAGTCAGTGTATGCGTGAGTTTGTAAACAGCATTGCAATTACAACCACAATTTACTTAAACAAATTGAGAAACAAAAATAAAAAATTAAACAACAACAACAAAATAGTGTTAAAGATTATCTTTATATATATGTACATACAAATATATATGTGTATACATATGTACGTGTATATATATAATATATATATACATTATATATATCTTAAATATGTTAAGTGCTCCTGATTGATAAATGGCAATATTAATTGTACGTTATTATAAATTAATTAGTTAAAATAACTATAAACATACAAACACATTATACATACAAAAATACTAAACACACTTATATACAAATCCATACAAGTAAACATACACACACACACGCATACAATCCACTTTTAGACAACTATATTACCATATATTAGTGTATAAAACCATTAAATTTAGTAAAAAATAAATAAACAAAAATGTTGATTTTTACTTTATACAAACAAAAAACAAAAACACTTGCTATAATATATACTTACTGTACTTTGTACATAATGTTTTGCTATACATACATATGTATGAAGATACATATATGTAAGACATGAACTAAAAAAAAAAAAACAAAGCATTATCCACATACATACATATACATATGCATATAGACATACAAATATTTAAGTACATATGTATGTATGTAAGAGAGTAAGAGTAGAAAAGCTGAAGTAAATAAGAAAAAATATATATTATATGAAAAAAAAATGTATGAAAACTTACCAAATGAGTCTCTTTCGCAGAGCCAAATGCAATTGATAGCTATGTATGTATGAGTAAATGAGTCAAAAAGCTGGACAATCCAAAAAGCAAAAAAAGAAGAAAACAAAAAAACTAAAATTTTCTTATATACTTTCTTAACGAAATATATGAGTTTATTCTACGTGCTATTTAAACCAACAAAGAAACGAAACAAACAAGCAAAACAAAAAATTCCTTAAAAAATTGAAAAATTATTTTATAGAAATTCTCACAAAAAAAAAAAAAAACAAAAAACACAAATGCAAGGAGTAACGAAAATTTTAAACACTACAATAAATGTGTTGTTGTGGCGCCAATGTGGCTCGAAAGCGGGCAGGCAGTAGCTTGGTTAATTTTAGTTAATTCAAATTATATAATATTTATGTATAATTCAATAAAATTGTTTAAAAAAAATTATTTCTCACACCTTTAAATATTTCTTTTTGAAATTTTGTTTTATTTATTTATTTTTATGATTACAACACATCGACTAATTGAAAGTTTTTCTTCAGCACTAGTCGTTTTTTCCTTACTAAATTGTATTTTAAGAGAACTAAAAAAAAAATTTTGTCGATTAGGTTGTTTGTTGCTTATAATTTTAAACGTATTTTAAAGATTTTTTTCAGCACATTTTTTCTTTGCTAAATTAGTTTTGTTCAAAGTTGAATTTGTTTGGTATTTTCTAAAGTCAGATTTAAAGTACTCGAAAACAGTTAGGCTCAAATTATACAATTTTTATTTTATTCTGTTGCTGAATAAGGTTTCCATTCAGCTGAATATAATTACTTACGCTTTTTAAAGAAGTTCATAATTTTGCAACTCATTTTTCTTTGCTGAATTAGTATTGGACAAAGCTGAATATGTTTCAAATGTTATTTTCTATAGTCAGACTTAATTTACTTAACACTCACAGCAGTTAGGCCGAAAGTATGCTTCTCTTTGTTTTGCTGAATTAGGATTTTATGCAGCAAAATATAATTTTATACGTTTATTTAATTTTTCTCCACCCTAATTTTCTGTGGTGTGGTTTTATTAAAGCAGAACAAAACATGTTCAATATACATAATTTTGTTTTTGATTTTTGTAAGCTAAATATGATTTCCAAACAAGCAAAAGTATATTATTTGAACAATTCAGCTCGTGCTGAAAAACTCGAAACCGAATCCCTTGCTAATGTTTGACAATTCGGCTAAATAAACTATTTTATCTAATTTTCAAGCTATAAATTAGTATTTTTTCCTCAGGGATTTTCGCTGAATTTACGACAAGTACATATAAGTTGCTGCTAAGAACCACAAAACTAATTTCTTTGTTAATTTTAAGCATAAGCAATTATTTTTAAAAATTGTTGTCCTTAGTTTACGAAGTAAATGCATGCTTAATTTACCCCAAAGTGGCTGAAATGAATTTTTTGAGTTTTTTTTCTCAAAGTAAAGAGTTGTAATATATTGGAAAATAACAAAAATGCCATTAATTCCACCAAAGCAAGTGCAGAAGAAGAAGAAATTATAAATTTAATAGTAATATTATTTGAAATTAACAAAAATTACTTTAATTCAACAATTCAGCTAGTGCTGAATATACCAAAACTGATTCTTTTGCTATGTTTTCCCAATTCATCAAACATAAATTGCTATTTTGTGAGTATTATTACACCATATTTATATATTTATATTTTTTTTCATTACCATTTTCGGTTTCGAGTCTTGTGCGCCATAACCTACAAAATGATATGAAAATTAATTTTTACTCTACATGCTATGAAACAAATAATTCTCAAGTCTACTCAATTAAGCCTTACTTATAATTTAATGTTAAATTCTAATTTACATAAATAAATATGTGTTTACTGTAAAAGTTTATTTTTACTTTTAAAACTTCAATACAGATATGCTGTATGGAGAGTAGTATACACTGAAAATCTAAAGCTGCGTGAAATATTTCCAGTTTTTGAATTTATTGTGCTTTCGTAAATTTTTTAACTGGATATATGCATACTTTTAGTGAAAGCTATTTGTGACAGTTTGAAAGCTAAATGGCATATTTGATATACATATATATATTGAAAGTTTTCGCAACTTTTCATTCAAGAGCTTTCACTAAAACTGGGTGAAAGCTTTCACATGGCATGAAATTGTAAGTTTGTTCACGAATAAATTCTAAAAATATTTTTTTATTTAGTATGCAAGCTTTTCACATACGATTTAGATGAAAGCTTCATTTTTAAAATGTATTTCCCCATTTTAAGACGTTTTTAATCAAATTCATACCAAATAACTGCTTATTTTATATTTAACTAAGAAAAAAATATTAAAAATAATATATTATTAAACTTTATAAGCAAATTTGAGAATCTAAGTGGAAAATTCTGAACTAAAGGAAAGTGCCTATATACATATTTATGTAATTATTATTAATTAATATTATATTTAAAATATATTATGAAATTACCAAACTTTAAAAATGAAATGAAAAAACAAATTTCCAAAATTTATACATACATACATACCTAGTGACAAACCCAACTCAACACATCCATACATAAAACATATTATTATATATTATACTAATATTTAGTTTAAGATCAACAAACATACAAACATAAATACATACATACACACCTATCGCATAAATACATATTTATTAAATATAAGTATTCAATTTCTCCGTTTTAAATAATATTTAGTGTTTATATATCTACATACACATATTTCATTTCTAAAATGTGAAAGTTAAAATTTAAAATTATTTATAAAATTAGCAATCAATTTTAGGATAAATAATAGTATAAAAAATATAAGAACAAAAACATTGCTATTAAGAAAGTTTTGGGATAGGAAAAGTAGGAGAATATTGGCTTGAAAGAGTTTTTGGAAAAAGCGATTATTATTTGAAGTGGAGAAAGCATAAATAGCGAAACAAAACCAAAACGATGAATTGAGAAAAAGTAAAGAAATAAACAAGGAAAAAAAAAATTGCGCGAAATAAATAAATTAATTTAATTTTTCTTATGAAACTGTATATATTCTTTATAAAATATATTTCTTTGTATTAACAAAAAGCCAGAAAATCTGTAAGAACTGTAAAGTGTAAAAAAAACTATTATTTTTTTACCACTTTAATTAGGAAAAAAAATTGCTTAAGCTTTAAAACATTAAATTTTTCTCAATTTCTTTTGCATATTAACTTTTTTTTTTACCAATTTTTCACTTAAGTGGCCTACTAACTAAAATTTAAGAAAACAAAAACAAAATCTGATACACAAGCATACACGTACATATATGTATGTATGTATATCGACAGCTATTTGCATACCCGTATATCAACAAAAAAATCTATATGTAAAACAAAACAAAAATCAAATGAATTTGCAATTGAATTTCTACAAAACAAAGCAGCCAATCATACATAACCTACATATATTACACGAGCTAACTAACTAAATCTATGACTAACAAAAGCAAAAAAAAAAAAGAAAACAAAAAATGGTTTCCTAATACTAACAAAGTTTATCAGGACCGACCGAACTTCAAACAAATATACATACTTAAAGTTACAGGTAAATATAGAGAGTATAGATACGCGAAAGTAAGGAGTAGATAACAGAAAATCAAGATTACAAAAATAAAAATTTGAAAAAAAAATTCAAAAATGATTAAAAAAATATCTAAAATAATTATAAACGTTAAACTGGAAACACAAGTGTAGCTAAAAGTCTTAAGAAAACTCCATACTTACATAAATGAAAAACGCAATGGCATACTTTGAAGTGAAACAAAAGAAACAAATTTACAAAAAATGCAAACAAACATACCAAAATTTTACTTGGAGTACACTTGAGAACGTATCAATAATGAAAACATATTTAATAGCAGTGTTGCTAAAATTAAGCAACCCTAAAAAATGTATAGCAAATATATAAATAAGGTTAGGTTTGAACAAAAAAATATAGAAAACATTTATGACTGAAACAAAAACAAAAAAATAGTGAAGAATTAAAAAAGTGGGTACCAAGTAAATGTGTTAAAAATAAAGAAAACACATTCACTTAAATACATACATAAACTAGCGACACGTGTTTTATAAAGAATTATTTCCAAAGGACTTTTGTTGTAAACATAACCTTTTCATACACCTTCAAATTTACGCCTTAGCAAACTTTCTTTTTAACATAAAACTTCCGCGCCAAATATATTAAAAGTTATTCATTTCTTTTTTTTTTTTGCCTTCACAATTTCTTTTCATTGCCAAATTCTATTCAAATTGCTATTACGTGGAAACCACGTGTTATGCGCATAAGACATCGATTATCGAAAGGCAACTATCGATACAGCAAATGTTGGCAATACCAACGGATACCGGCACAACATCCGTTAGTTGTGAAAATGCACATAGAGTCTCTCAAATTTTCAAAGGAATTATTTTATGCTTTAAATGAACGAAAATGAAGCGTTTAAAACACAGTTATAGCAGACAGAAGGCACATAAGTAAACTGAGAAGTAAAGAAAACACCATACACCTTAGAGAAATATGTGAAAATGTAAATAAGGTGTAAGTCACAGCTATGATAATGGTAGTAGGCAAATACAAATATTAGGTGGTTAGGTATGAAATGGGAATGATTAAACGTAATACGCCAATAAAACGATACAAAGATTAGCAAAAATTATAAAACAAATTATTGAAAAATGAAAAGAACTTAGTAAGTGTAATAAGTGAACAAACACATAAATAAAACAATATATATATATATCTATAATTAGAAAAATAAAAGCAAATATATATACATTTATGAAAAATAATTAAAAATGTAAAACAAAAAAATTAAAACTAATGAAGAAAACAAAAAAAATCAAACAAATAAAATAAGTATAATGAAAATAAAAAATTAATTACAAATATTTTTAGTGCAATATATAAGAAATATAT